CAGAAGGCAGTGGGATGACATTTTAAAATATTGAAAGAAAATGTCAACCAAGAATTCTGTTTCTGGCAAAATTATCCTTCAAGAATGAATGAGAAATTAAGACATTCCAAGATAAACAAAAGCTGAGGGAATTTATTAGCAGTTCACCTGCCCTACAAGAAATACCAAAAAAAGTCACTCTGCCTCAAATAAATGGACACTAGACAGTAACTTTAAGACATAAAACATATGTCAAAGAATGCTGGTAAAGGTAACTTCATAGGTAAATATAAAAGCCAGTATTATTGTACTTGTCTGTTGGTTTGTAATTTCCTTCTCTTTCATATTTAATTTAAGAGGAAAGTTCGTTAAAATTATATATCTATGTTAATGGGCATACAATGTATAAATATATTGTATGGCATCCACATAGGGGGATGGAACAGAGATGTATAGGAGCACAGTATTTATATACTATTAAAAATAAGTTCGTATAAACCAACGTTACCGCAATAAACAAAAAATTAAAAAAAAAATAAGTTCGTATTATTCAAATAAGATTGGTATAAGTGTAAAGTGTTAATTGTAACCCCCAAGAAAACCTCGATAAAATTTAATTTAAAATATACATGAGAGGAAAGATGAAGGGACTTGAAGAGGCACACTACAAAAAATAAACTAAATACAAAAAAGGGCAGGAATGGAGAACTGGGGAACACAAAACATGTAAGACACACACAAAACAAGAGCTAAATGGCAGACGTAAATCATTCTTTATAAGTAATCACATTAAATATAAATGAATTAGACTCTCCTATTAAAAGACAGAGGTTGGGAAATTAGATAATTAAAAAAACTGGATCCAACTATATGCTGTCTAGAAGAGACACACCTTAGATATAAGAACACAAAACTGTTGAAAGTAAAAGAATGAAAAATATATTCAATGAAAATAGTAACAAACCATAAGAGAGCTTAAGTGGCTGTATTATTGTCAGACAAAATGGATTTTGAATCCAAAAAGTTTACAAGAGACAAAGAAGGACATTGTATATTGATAAAAGGTTCAATACAGCATGAAGATATAACAATTATAAACATATACACACCTAACAAAGGAGCCCCAGAATATATGAATCAAAAGCTGACAGAATTAAAGGGAGAAATAGACAGTTCTACAATAATAGTTGGTTACTTCAATAACCCACTTTCAGTAATGGATAGAACAACCAGAGAGAAGGCTAAGGAGAAAATAGAGGACTTGAACTATAAACCAATTGGAATTAAGGGTCATATACAGAACACTCTACCCAATAACACATTATTTTCAAGTTCACATGGAACATTCTTAAAGACAGACCATTTGTTAGGCCACAAAACAAGTCTTAGTTAATTTAAAAGATTGAAATAACACAAAGTGTACTTTCTGACCACATGGAATGAAACTAGAAATCAATAACAAAGGAAAACTAAGAAATTCAAAAATATATGGAAATTACACAGCACACTGTTAAACAACTGATGGGTCAAAAAAGGAATCACAAGAGAAATAAGAAAATACATTGAGACAAATGAAAACAAAAACACAATATGTCAAAACTTAGGGATGCAGGGAAAGCAGTGATAGGAGAGAAATTTATAACTGTAATCAGATACATTAAAAAAGAAGAAAAACCTCAAATCAATAACCTAACTGGACACTTTAAGGAATTAGAAAAAGAAGAGCAAACCAAACCCAAAGAAAACAGAGGGAAAGAAATAATGAAGGTTAGAGTGGAGATAAATAAAATAGAGAATAAAAGGCAGTAGAGAAAAATCAACAAAACCGAAAATTGGCTCTTTGAAAAGATCAAAAAGATGACAAACCTTTAGCTAGATTGACTGAAAAAGAGAGATGACTCAAGTTACAAAATCAGAAAGGAAAGTGGGGACATTACTACTGATTTTATGGAAATAAACGGGATTATAAGAGAATACTATGAAGAGTTGTATACTAACAAATTACATAACCTAGATGAAATGGACAAATTCCTAGAAACTCAATCTACCAAACTGACTTAAGAAATAATAGAAAATCTGAATAGAGCTGTAACTAGTAAGGAGATTGAATCAGCAACCAAAACCCTTCCATGTAAGAAAAGCCCAGATAAGATGGCTCCACTGGTGAATTGTATCAAATGTTTAAAGAAGAATTAACACCAATTCTTCTTAAACTCTTCCAAAAAGAGGAAGAGGAAGGAACACTTCCTTACTCTTTCTATGAAGCCAACATTATCCTGATACCAAAACCAGATGAAGACTCACAAGGAAAGACAGCTACAGGTCAATATTCCTTATGAATATAGATGCAAAAATCCTTAACAAAATACTAGCAAAGCAAATTCAGCAGCATATTAAGTGGATTATACATCTTGACCAAGTGGGATTTATTCCTGGAATGCAAGTGTTTTTCAAGATACAAAAATCAATAAATGTAATACACCACAATAATAGAATAAATGGAAAAAACCACAAGATCATCTCAATTGATGCAGAAAAAGTATTTTACAAAATTCAACACCCTTTCATGATAAAAATACTCAATCAACTAGAAAGAGAAGGGAACTTCCTCAAAAAATGGCTTTTTATGAAAAACCCACAGCTAAACACATACTCAATGGTGAAAGACTGAAAATTTTTCTACTAAGACCAGGAAAAACAAGGATGGTCACTTTCACCATTCCTATTCAAGAGAGTACTGGAAGTTGTAGCCAGAGCAATTAGGCAAGAGAAAAAAAGTTAAAAACTTCCAAATTGGAAAGGAAGAAGTAAAATTATCCATGTTTGCAGATGATCTGATCTTATATGAAGAAAATCCTAAAGAATCAACAAGAGCTCACTAGTAAACAAATTCAGCAAAATTGCATGATATAAAACCAACACACACAAAATCAGTTTTATTTCTATATACTTACCATGACCAATCTGAAAAGAAAGTTTTTAAAAATCCGGCTACAATAGCATCAAAAAAATACTTAGGAATAAATTTAATCAAAGAGGTGAAAGACTTGTACACTGAAAACTATAAAACACTGCTGAAAGAAATTACAGAAGATGAAAGTAAATGGAAACGCATTCTATGTTAGATTGAAACACTTAATATTGTTAAGATGACAATACTACTGAAAGCAATCTTACGGATTCAATACAATCCCTATCAAAACTTCAATGACGCTTTTTACAGAAATAAAAATAACCCATTCCCAAATTTAAATGGAATCTCAAGGGACTCCAAAGAGTCAAAACTAACTCAAAACAGAAGAACAAAGTTGGGTTTTTTTCCAATTTTCTGAAAGCTTCCTGATTTCAAAACTTACTACAAAGCTATAGTAATCAAACTACTGTGGTACTGCCATAAGGATAGACATATAGACAAAAGAACCCAGAAATAAACCCTCACGTACATGCTCAATCGATATTCAACAAGGCTGCCAAGACAATTCAATGAAGAAAAGACAGTCTTTTCAACAAACGATGCTGGGAAAACTGGATATTCACATGCAGAAGAATAAAGTTGGACTCTTACCTTACACCATATACAAAAAAGTAACACAAAATGGATCAAAGAGTTAAAAGACAACCCACAGAATGGGATAAAATATTCGCAAATCATATCAGAATGAAAAAGAACTCCTACGACTCAACAACAAAAAATCAACAACCCATTCAGAAATGGGCAAGGGACTTCAATAGACACTTCTCTAAAGAAGATATGCAAATGGCCAAAAAGATGCTCAATGTCATTACTCATTAGGGAAAAGTAAATTAAAACCACAATGAAGTACCACTTCACACCCTTTAGAATGGCTATAATTACTTTTTAAAAAGCAAATGGAAAACAAATGTTGGACAGAATGTAGAGAAACTGGGACTCTTGTGCATTTCTAATGAATATGAAATGGTGCAGCCACTATGGAAAATAGTTTGGCAGTTTCTTAAAAAGCCAAGTTTCTTTAAAAATATAGATTTATCACTTGATCCAGTAATTCTACTCCTAGGTATATACTCAAAGGGATTGAAGCAAGGACTCAAACAGATACTTGTAAGGCAATGTTCATTGCAACATACTCACAATAGGCAAAAGTTAGAAAGAACCCAAGTGACCGTCCATAGATGAATGGATACACAAAATGTGGTATATAGGTACAATGAAATATTATTCAGTCGTAAAAAGGAATGAAGTTCTGATACACGCTACAACATGGATGAACCTTGAAAATATTGTGCTAAGTGAAAGAAGCCAGACACAAAAGGAAAACTATAGCATAATTCCACTTCTGTGTGGAACTTAAAAGAGGCAAATTCATAGACACGCAATGTAGATTAGAAATTACCAGGGGCTGTGGGAAGGCAGAATGGGAAGTCAATGCTTAATGGTTATAGAGTTTCTGTTTGCAGTGATGCAAAAATTCTGGAAATTGGTAGTGCTGATGGTTGTCCAAAAGTGAATGTAATTAACGCCACTGGATTGTATACTTAAAAATGGTTAAAGTGGTAAATTTTATGTTATATATATTATACTGATTAAAACAAAATAAGAATGTAATATACCAAAAACCATTGATGGTAAATGGGTGAATTGTATGGTGTAAAATTTATATCCCAATAAGGCTGTTTTGATTTGTTTTGTTTTAAAAAAAAAAAGGCTTCTACCTGGAAGATGCAGTCCTGTACAGGAGTAAAAGTAAACACAATGTGATAAATTGCATCAGCATCAAACCCAACTTTTCCAAACCCAGAAAACAGGAAGTGCCTGGGTGACCTACCCACAGGAGTACTCGCTTCAAGCTGCCGCCTTGGGGATTGACTTGATTTTAATCAAGAATCACTCATTCACTGTTCTACGTGTCATTCATTCCTTCATGCACTAATCCCTTCCTTGAAAAATAAGGCATAATTCCTGTGAACCATGCTCTATGCTGGCTCTAAGAACACAGAGATCACAGATACAGAAGGTAAGTTTGCCAACATGATGCCCAGCAATGAGAACAGTGAGTTGAAATATGATAATAGAGACACCCAGGGAGCCTGGGAACCTGGGGGAAGGACACCTCGGGGTCAGCAGGCTTGGGTTGAAATGCAGCTCACCTGGGCATATCCTTCAACACGGGTCTCCTCATTCTTCAGTGATCTACAGGATCGAGTAATAATCCATCCCTCACCCAGGTTTGCCTCGAGCATTACATATTGTTCTAGTTTCCTAGGGTTGCCATAACAAAGTACCACAAACTGGGTGGCTAAAACAGCAGAAATTTAGTGTCTTACAGTCCTAGAGACTAGACGTCCAAAATCAAGGAATTACTGGGGTTGGTTCCCTCTGCAGTCTGTGAGGGGAGCATCTGCTGCAGGCTGTCTCTTCGGCTAGTAAATCACTCTCTTCTCCATACATCCCTTCACATCATCTTCTCTTGATGAGTGTCTGTCTCCATGTCCAAATTTCTCCCTTTTTATGAAGACACAGTCATGTTGGATTAGGGCCACCTCTAATGACCTCACTTAAACTTAATTACCCTATAAAGACCATATCTCCAAATAAAATCACATTCTGAGGTACTGGGGGTTTGGACTTCAACATATGAATTTGAGGGGGACACAATTGAACCAATAACTCTGATATATTAAGTCTATGAAAAAGTTTTGTAAACCACAGAGTCCTTCACTGCACATTTATCAAGCACCTAGTATGGGTAAGATTCTGAAGGGAGTATTGTGAGTGAGGGCCCAGAGACGGCCAAACCAAAAGGCAGAGTCAGGCCTTAGCCCAAGTCTTGGCAAGAGATCAAGAGTCCAGACCAGAGTCCAGCTCATCAGAAACAGTTCCAAACTCCTAATGGCTGCTGATATATCCAGAGCTATCTCCCTGTGCCCGTCCTGTCCTTCACCACCACTCCAAATACTGGACCTAAAGACAAAGGTTTTATTGATTTGTCTTTCCCTTGGTGACAGTTGCAAAAGGGCCAGGACCTACAAGAGCTTGTTAAAGGGGTAGAGAAATTTCCTTATGACTCTCCCACCTGGCTATGGGGAAACAAGGATGCCCTCCTGGGCTATGACCATGACTACAGGGAGGTAATCCTGGGGAGATCAGGTGAGAGCAAAACCCACATCCTGGCTGGAGCAGCTCTTCCCTCTTGGGTACATGCCCCTGGGTCTGTGAAATTCCAGAACAGACTGGCAGTTCAGCCATCAATACCTCCCCTCTTCCAACCATTTTCCCAGCCCACAAGCCAGCCTAAGGCCAACACTATTTACTTAAGCTGAAGGCTCAAAGAGCTGTGCAGGGCTGAATTTCTATTTCTTTTCCTTCTTCTCCTTTTAAGCAAATTGAGATGGTCTGTTATGTAAATAGCCCCAGATCTGAAAGACAATTTCCTTTGCACACTGACTTGGGTTTGGCACCTCTAGTTGTTGCCTGTCCTGGCTCATGGGATGGCTAAGCCACCACCAATTGTAGGAAAATCATAGACTTCTGTCTTTTCTTTGGCACTGAGGGCAGAGCCTGTATTTCTTGCAGATTCACCATCCTAGCCCTCTAGGTGTCCTGCTGCTGGAACACTCAGTGTGCCTTCCTAAGTCCACAGTGGCTATCAGGACAGACACAGTCAGGGATAGAAGACAAGTGGGAGGTGGCTTAAGACCAACTGGCAGCTAGCTGACAATCATCAGGAAGAGATGGCAGCCCGTGGTCTGGACCACTGCTGCCTCCTGGGGGCCACAGGCATTGTTTGGTCCCCTCCAGCTTCCTGTAATGCCCTTCCTTACCTTTCAGACCCAAAGTCTCATGGATCTTACAGATTCCTGGCTCCTTGGATTGGTAAGTATGTCTAACTAGGACTGTGGTCCCCCTGCCAGTTTGGTTTGCCAAGAGCTATCTCTTTGGCTCATAGAGAACAACAGGTGTCTGGCCACCAAGTCGTCACCCTCATCTCTGGATCAAGCCTCATTTCTCTTCTTGTAACAAGACTGTCTCCCTTCCTAATGGTAGTGAGAGGCCTCCTGAAGCTCATCTTCTTGCACATCACTTCTCAGTCCTTGCCATGATCCTAGCCTAACTTTTATTGAAGTCCTTCTATGACCTGCCTCCTACTCTTTTTCAACCTTTGTCTCACAGCTATCATAATCACTTTCTATGTACCAGCCATTTGGGGAAATCCTCATTCCTGAAATGTACTGGTCTTCCCTGCCTTTTCACATGATTGGCCTTCTTCTGACACCCTTAGTTCCTCCCAAGTTGTCTCCAGTCATCGCTCTGATCTCATCTCCCACATCCACACACCCACATCTCTGGTCTAGGGTATGGCCTGCTCCTGTTGAATGGGCATATGTGGTTCCAGCACTGGCAGATGCTGACCCCACCGTTCCCCTATGACATTCTGAAACCCTATGTGGGGCTCATGGCCGACTCTGTCCAAGTGATGCTGGTAAGTCCATCCCCCTCTCACTTGCACATGCTCACACACAGCAAAACTCACAGAGTCCACTCCAGACACATGTATCCCTCAGACACCCATCAGACACAGAATAATGTACTCAGACCTTACTGTGAGACAGAGCTCCTCAAAAGTGGATGAGACAGGAGAGTACCTACACACCAGCTTCTACCAACACTCTGCTCATTGCCAAAGGAAAGGAGGGCCATGGTGAATACAGGGTCTGCTCTCCTCCCACTTTCACGACTTCAGCACGGTGGACAAGAGCAAGGGTCATTCTCCTAGACAGCAGGACAAGCTGACCCTGGCTAACCTGAGCAACGGAAGCATCAGTGACAGAGTGGACAAGCCAGGAGGTCACTCAGGTGGGCTCTGGCCTGGGGACAAGGGCTTCCACATGGAATTGAGCCACTCCACGGAGGGAAATGGAGACCAGGTCTATACTCTCAGAACCGTGTCCTGCCATCACATCACATCCCATCAGGACTGTGATACCTCACCAGCTGTGCTCAGCTTACATTTGATGAATGATGGGAATTGAAGTCCCTGATGTCCTTTCCTTAGGAGCTCTGGTGCTGACCCCTTAGTCTTTTTCTTGCTTTGACACGTATGCTCCCTAAAGTTAGACTTCACCTGTCCCTCAGGTCTAGCTCAGTCCCAGGACAGAGAAGCTTCCCCCTTTGTCTCCTGAAAAACATTGTTTTCTGGTCTGCCAAAAGGTGGTTCTCATTGTAACTTGTTCCTAAAATTCAGCCTAATTCAGACTCTTACGAGAGAACATGTTTAATTACGTAACAAAAGTTTCTGAGAAAATAGGCCTCACTTTATAAACATTTGCTTTACAGTCTTAATTTGCTATAATGCATCTGTTCTCTGGCCTTGTAATCAGGGGACGTCTGGGGGAGCAGAGGAGAGTCAATGTCCTCCTTGCACCACAGGACAAATGGGAGGAGCTCACTAGACAGGACTCACATCTGGAGACCTTTGGACACATCTCCTTGATGACCCTGGACACCAACATGAAGTGCGCCTTCAGCCACCAGGGCAGCGTCCAGACAGACAGGTCAGTGATAATCCTTAGCTGCAGAATTCTTGTTTTTACCAACTGGCGTGGACTTACTGAGAGACAGTTAGGGCAGCTTGGATGCTTACCAGCACAAAATGCAACATTCTCACGAGAGCCCTGGACCATGGTCCAGTTCTAGTCTAGACGAAAACTTGACTCAGTCACAGATCCCTGATCCCCGGCACAGACAGAATCCTGGATGCCCAAGCCACTTAAAAAAGGCTGAGGGTCTCGAGGGCTGTAAGACAGAAGTGATCAATGCCTCAGTGTCCTGTCCTCACTGATTGAGGAAACCTCTACCAAGAACCCCACTCCACCTCCAGGTCAGAAGCCTCCCTTTACTCCAGTTTCTTCTGCATCCTCTCCCTTCAGGAACTCCCAATCCTACATCCAGGCCACTGGGGACTTAAACAATCTGTTTTTTTCTTGGAAGACGAATGCCTTCTACCAGAATGACATCATCTACAGGGTGACCCCTGATAGACACTTGAGCCACCAGGCCTGCCAGCTTGCCCCTCAACACACAGGTTGAACTCCACCTCCAGGGCTCCTCCCTTCCTTCATCAGGTACATCCCAAATGGACTACCCTTGAGCCCTCAAGCAGACCCCTGCTGCCCCTTCAGGAGCTGGGACACACCCACACTGGGTACATCCCTGGTACAAGGGGTGGGAAACAATATGTGAGGGGGCCAGATGTTGTGCAAGGATTAACAAGTGTCACCAATTGGTGATGGTTGAATGAGACCCCCACCCAGCAATATTCAAGCAGAGCCTCTAGGAGCCATGCTATTGAGAGGAGGCCTGACCTGCAATCAGATGGTGTGAGAGCTCTCACCCCTGACAGACATCTATACTCCCACACTCATCCTAATCCACCTGGTACCCAGATTGGGGCAGGAGGGCAGGTGGGGCTACCATGGGTTGCTGTATCTGGGCAACCAGAGCTCTCAGCTCTGCCTGGGAACCACTGTTCTGGGACAGACTGAGTGGAAAAGCTGAGAAAGGCTCACCTGCAGAAGGAGGGAGAGCTGGAGAAAGTCAGGAAGAAGAGGCACTTGGATTTCCTGGACATCCTCCTCTTTGCCAAAGTGAGTGTGTGTAGGAGAGGCTGGAGGCTTAGCCCAGAAGCTCAGAGGAAGAAGCAAACGCTGCACCCTTGCCATGCCTTCCCCAGATGGAGAATAGGAGCAGCTTGTCTGACAAGGGCCTCGATGCAGAGGTGGACATGTACATGTTCAAGGGCCATGACACCACAGCCAGGGGCATCTCCTGGATCCTCTAAGTTCTGGCCGCACACCCATCACACACGTCATTCATTCATTCATTCTTTCACTTGCTCATTCACTCATTGAGCAGATTGTTGGATATTCTATGTTCCTGGAACTGTCCTGGGCACTGGACAGGGATCTGTCCTTGAGTAAAACATTAATGATGCCTTGGGGATCTGTGGAGGAAGAGATAGAGTCAGCAGACAGCGTGAAGGTGGGCTGTCGTTGGACTTAGCCTTGAGCTTGTGGCAGGTAGAGGCAGAGGGCAGCATTCTTGGCAATCTCAACACGCGCTGAGCTAGGAAGTGGAGCTGGACAGGTAACAGGTGAGTGAGGTAACAACCCATAGAGGGCTTTGGTGCCAGCTGAGGCATTTGGACATGTCCTTCCTGTGATGGAGGGCATAGGAGCGTCTGAGCTGAGCCGTGGCTTCAGTGTAGATGGAGGGGAGGCAGGGAGACAGAAAAGTCCATGGGCCGGTCCCGTGGCTTAGCAGTTAAGTGCACGTGCTCCGCTACTGGCGGCCCGGGTTCGGATCCCGGGCGCACACCGACGCGCCACTTCTCCGGCCATGCAGAGGCCACGTCCCACATACAGTAACTAGAAGGACGTGCAACTATGACATACAACTATCTACTGGGGCTTTGGGGGGAAAATAAATAAATAAATAAAATTAAAAAAAAAAGATTAAGTAACTTTAAAACAAAAAAGAAAAGTCCAGGTGAGGTGACTGAGGGATGGCAAGGAGGGACATTTCTGGGCTAGACTGGAAGGCTACAGAAGACAGTTGACTGAGGGGATGAGGGGGAGGCCGGAGTCCGGACCACTAATTAGGAGGCACATGGTACGGGAGGCTGAGGGTCACTAACCCGTGGCCCCTCCGAGAAGCTTCCCTGTTGCCATTCTGACTTCCTTACACAACTCCATCTTGTCCTCTCTCTGAGGATCAGGGTCCCTGTTTGTCACCCTAGAAGGTGAGGGCCTGAGAGTGTGGCCCACTCTGCCCCCTACTGTGCCCTGACCTGGCCTCCACATTGTGAAACCAGAAACTGCTTGTGGAGAGAGTGAGCAAATAATAACATTTTAGTGATTCACTTGACTTGACTTGTGGCTTAGAGCACTGACCCTCACCTAACAGGATTCTAGGCCGGCTGAGAGTGGAAGTAGGAGTTAGGAGCTAGTCCTGGAGGGAAGCAGGCTTTGTCAGAGGTCAGGGTGAGGGTGTGAACCAAGGGTTGGGGTGAGGTGCATGACCTTTAAGGATGGGATCGGGGCTGGGCCACATGCAGGAGAGCCCTGAATGCCCTGACGGAATGAATGAATAATTCTATGAGGTGTTCAGAGAAAGAATTATTATCCCACCTATATTACTTTCCTGGGGCAACTGTTAACAACTTACCAGAAATTTGGTGGCCTTAGGAGTATCCCTAGGCCAAAATCAAGGTATTGGCAGGACCATACTCTCTCTGGAATCTAGGGTGAATGCATTGCCTGCTCCTTCCAGCTTCTGGTGGGTCCTGGAATTCCTTGCTTATAGCATATATCTCCATTCTTCAAAGTCAACATCTTCAAATCTCTCTCCACTCTGTCTTCACGTGGCCTTCTCTCATGTGTGTGTCAAATCTTCCTCTGTCTCTCTCTTATCAGGATACAAATGATCTCATTTGGGATCCACTTTGATAATCCAGAATAATCTCCTGATCTCAAAATTCTGATTGTGATCACATCTTCCCAGACAATTTTTTCTAATAAGGTAACAATTACAGGGTCCTAAAGTTAGAATCTGATATCATTGGGGGTCGTGATTCAGCCTACCAAAGTCTGCCTTCTGTCTCCCAAAGATTCATGTCCATCCCACATGCAAAATACATTCACTTCATCCTTTAATCCCCCAAACCTGAATCCATTATAACACCAACTCAAGTCCAAAATCTCATCTAAATATCATCCGCTCAAAAGTCTCCATCTTATCACCTAAAACATCTAACTTTGGTATGGGTGTGACTCTGGGTATAAACCATTCTTGAACAAAATTCCTCTAAATCTCTGGACCTGTGAAAATAAAAAAGTTATCCATTCCCCAAATAAACTGGGGACAAGCATAGTATAAAAGTTATAGACATTCCTATTCCAAAAGGAAGAAAAGTGAAGGGAGAAAGGAGTCTCTGGTCTGTAGCAATTTCAAAATCAAGTAGGGCAAACTCCATTATGTTTCAAGTCCTGGGAATAATCTCTTGTAGTTGAGGCTCCACCCTCTAGGCCCACAACTCTACCCTCTGAGACTGAGGTTTTGCCCTTGGAGTCATTCTTCCTTGCTCTTGAAGGATAGCATATGTTTCCAGCTGAACAGTTTTGTCAGTTTGTTTCTTTCCTGGAGAATTTGGAGTCCAACAGCCTTCCTTCATTTTGTCCTTTCTCTGTCCCTTTCAGTACAAGCTAGCTCTGCTGATATAACATTCTTATAAACCTTGTGAATCTCCCATGTACATCACAGGGATTCACACCATCAGACAAGAAGGTCCTCCAAAGATCTTTCCCGAATAATCCCATCTCTATTCCTGGCCTCTGAGTTCCTTGAGAGAATCTATGTGTCACACATCTAATCTCTTCAGCACCAGCAAAGGTTGTCCAACCACACACTTGGCCTTCTCTGCACAGCATGCTTTCATAACGGTGATTCTCTTAATTTTAACATTTTTTTGTTGCAATCTGGATAGGCTGACAATTTCCCAGATCATAAAGAACTAGTTTCTTCTTGTTGAACAGTTCTTCTCTCAATTTTTATCTTTACTTTCACTTCTCGCTATAAGCAGCAAGAAGAAACCAGGCAACTTTGCTTGGAAATTTCATGAGCTAAATATCCGTGCTTACAAGTCCTGCTTTCTGCACAGCTGTAGGACGTAATTCAGCTAACTTTCCTGACACTATATAACAAGGTTTCCTTTTCTCCAGTTTCCTGAGAAACACATTCCTCATTTCCTTCTGAGCCAACATCAGAGGTCCCTTTGATGTTTATCTCTGCCAACACTCTGTTATGATGACATGTATGTTCTCTAAGACAATGTAAGCATTTCCTTCTATGCCTCTCACTTCCTTCTGATTCCTCACCAAAGCATCTTTAATGCCTGTCTTTCTACAATAATCTGTTTAAGGCAGTCTACACTTTTTCTATCATGTGCTTCAAAATTCTTCCAGCGTCTATCTGTTATTCAATTCTAAAGCCACTTCCACATTTTTAGGTATTTATTACAGCAACACTCCCACCTCTGGTACCAAAATCCTAGGGCTGCTGTAACAAATCACCACAAACATGGTCACTTAAAGTAACAGAAATTAGTTCTTTCACAGTTCTGGAAACCTAAAGTCCAAAATCAGTATCCTGGAACAAAACCAAAGTGTCAGCAGGGCTGTGCTCCCTCCAGAGGCTCTAGTGGAGCCATTCCCTGATGCTGCCATCATTCCTTGGCTTATGGCTGCATCTCCCCAATCTTCAAGGCCAGCATCTTCAAATCTCTCTCTGCTCCATCTTCACACTCTCTTCTCCCCTGTGTGTGTCAAATGTCTCTCTGCATTTAGGGCCCGTCTTTATAACCCAGGATAATTTCTCCATTTCAATATCCTTAAGTTATCACATCTGCCAAGACTCTTTTCCCAAATAGTGTCAATTTACAGGTTCTCAGGTTTAGAGCCTGATGTCTCTGGAGGTCATTATTCAGCCTACTACAGTCTGCCCTCTGGCCCTCAAAGATTCATGTTCATCCCCCATGCGAAATACATTCACCCCATTTCAACATTCCGAAAGCTTCAATCCCTTACATTAACTCAAGTCCAAAATCTCATCTAAATGTCATTGGCTTATAACTAGAGTAACTCTTTTTTTATGTTTGTGGTGGGATGGTGATAATATAATGGAGATTGGAACATGTCACATTCATAGGGCTAAGGTTAGGGGCAGGAAATTCTTTCATAGGAAATGTATGAGTTGGCCATAATGAAATAGTGGGAATGATGCTTGTACCCACAGAAATAAAATTGTTAGCAGTAGAGTCTTAAAAATAAAATCAATTATGTAAACATCTGGAATATAGAGGTTATGAAATGCTCCTAAAAACTAAATTTTTCTAGGAGTATTTATCATGATGATATTAGCATACTCAGCCATGGAGAATAGGCAAATGGTCCAGCTGCATATTTAACGTGAAAGCCAGACACAAGTTCCAATTCTTCTTCAGTTAAGTCAGAGGGAGATCAATTAGTTTCTTTAAAGTTGAAATAAATCTTATTATGGTAAATGGCCATGATGAGATAATTAATCATAAATATTCTTGAGTAATTGCAAGGCTAAATATAGTGTAAATGACCCACTTATTAATATAACTGATAATAAAATAATTGTTGAAATTACTTCATATGAACTCGTGCAGCTGCTCCTAATGTACCAATTTAAGGCATATTTTGAATTTGAAGCTCATCCTGATCTTAGGATGGAATATACAACCAGGCTTGATATTGGTAGAATAAATAATATCCCTAGGTTTATCTTAAATAGTGGATATGGTATAGGTAAGGGAATTCATAGTGTTAATATTAAGGTAAGCAACAGAATTCATGGAATGATAAACATTAATATAGAGGAAGTTCATGGTTATAATGATTCTTTCATAAATAATTTTACAGCTTTGGCAGTTTGTTATCGTAGTCCATAGGGGACAATAATATTAGTTCCTTTTCGAAGTTGTGTGTACCCTAAATCTTTTTCTACAATTATTAGTAAGAACGCTATGGCTAATTAAATAGGAATAACTAATAATAAGTGATTAATAATGAACATATTGTTAAGAAGAAGTGTTGCACTTCTGATTATAAAGTTTTAAGTTTTACACAATTACCAGGTTCTGCCAACTTAACAAGCCCTGTTATGGGGGAGGGCTGGTGTTTATTATTTAGATTGAGGTTACTTCATCAATTTAATATAAAGTGCTTTTGAAAGGTTGGCCTTACTTCTGCTGTCCTTTCTTTAGAACAGAAGCCTGTCAGGAATGGTATACCTGTCAGTGCTAGGCTTCCAATATTTAGTGAAGATGTAGTAAAAGACAGAGCTTTAAATAATCCTCTTATTTTTTGAAAATCTTGCTCATCATTTAAATCATGAATAATGGATCTGGAGCATAAGAATAACATAGCTTTAAAGAATGCTCATGTACAGATATTTGTAAATGCTAGGTATGGTTGATTTATGCCAATATTTCCATTTATTAAGCCTAGTTGATGTGAGGCTGAGAAAGCAACAATTTTTTTTCTTTTTTATTGAAGTATAATTTATATATAACATTATATAGTTTTACAACATAATAACTCAATGTTTGTATATATTGCAAAATGATCACCATAAGTCTAGTTAACATCCATCCATATAGTTACAAAGTTTTCTTTTCCTAGGATGAGTACTTTTAAGATCTACTTTCTTTGAAACTTTCAAGTATGCAATACAGTATTAAAAACTATAGATATCAGGGCCGGCCCTGTGGCTTGGTGGTTAAGTGCGCGCGCTGCGATGCTGGCGGCCCGGGTTCGGATCCCAGGTGCGCATTGAGGCACCACTTCTCTGTCCATCCTGGGGCCGAGTCCCACATACAGCGACTGGAAGGGTGTGCAGCTATGACATACAACTATCTACTGGGGCTTTGGGGGCAAAAAATAAAATAAATAAAATCTTTAAAAAAAAAAAAAAAAAAAACTATAGATATCATGCTGTACATTACATCCTCATGACATTTATTTTATAACTGGAAGTTTGTACATTTTGACTCCCTTCACCCATTTCATACACCCACCACCCCCTGCCTCTGGCAACCACGAATTTGTTCTCTGTATCTCTGAGCTCGGTTGCTTTTTGTTTATTCTAGATTCTATATATAAGTGAGGTTATATGGTATTTGTCTTCCTCTATCTGACTTATTTCACTTAGCATAATGCTT